TCTATACCAGAAATATATGTCATACTTTAGTGTCTAAAACGGATACCACTGACATGTCTTGGGGTCTATGTCAGAAATACATGTCATACATAAAGGTCTAAAAGGGATACCACTGACATGTGTTAGGGTCTATACCAGAAATACATGTCATACATTAGTGTCTAAAAGGGATACCACTGACATGTGTTCGGGTCTATACCAGAAATACATGTCATACATTAGTGTCTGAAAGGTATACCACTGACATGTGTAAGGGTCTATACCAGAAATACATTCATACATTAGTGTCTGAAAGGTATACCACTGACATGTGTTAGGGTCTATACCAGAAATACATGTCATACATTAGTGTCTGAAAGGGATACCACTGACATGTGTTAGGGTCTATACCAGAAATACATGTCATACATTAGTGTCTGAAAGGTATACCACTGACATGTGTTAGGGTCTATACCAGAAATTCATGTCATACATTAGTGTCTAAAAGGGATACCACTGACATGTGTTCGGGTCTATACCAGAAATGCATACCATACTATAGTGTCTAAAACGGATACCACTGACATGTGTTAGGGTCTATACTAGAAATATATGTCATACTTTAGTGTCTGAAAGGTATACCACTGACATGTCTTGGGGTCTATGTCAGAAATACATGTCATACATAAAGGTCTAAAAGAGATACCACTGACATGTGTTAGGGTCTATACCAGAAATACATGTCATACATTAGTGTCTGAAAGGTATACCACTGACATGTGTTCGGGTCTATACCAGAAATATATGTCATACATTAGTGTCTGAAAGGTATACCACTGACATGTGTTAGGGTCTATACCAGAAATACATGTCATACATTAGTGTCTGAAAGGTATACCACTGACATGTGTTAGGGTCTATGCCAGAAATTCATGTCATACATTAGTGTCTAAAACGGATACCACTGACATGTGTTCGGGTCTATACCAGATATACATGTCATACATTAGTGTCTAAAACGGACAACACTGAAATGTGTGATGGTCTATACCAGAAATGCATACCACAGAAATGTGTTAGGGTCTATACCAGATATACATGTCATACATTAGTGTCTAAAAGGGATACCACTGACATGTGTTAGGGTCTATACCAGAAATACATGTCATACATTAGTGTCTGAAAGGTAAACCACTGACATGTATTAGGGTCTATACCAGAAATACATGTCATACATTAGTGTCTAAAAGGGATACCACTGACATGTGTTCGGGTCTATACCAGAAATACATGTCATACATTAGTGTCTGAAAGGTATACCACTGACATGTGTTCGAGTCTATACCAGATATACATGTCGAACGTTAGTGTCTAAAACGGATAACACTGAAATGTGTGAGGGTCTATACCAGAAATGCATACCACTGAAATGTGTTAGGGTCTATACCAGATATACATGTCAAACATTAGTGTCTAAAAGGGATACCACTGACATGTGTTAGGGTCTATACCAGAAATACATGTCATACATTAGTGTCTGAAAGGTAAACCACTGACATGTGTTAGTGATCTTCTTCTATACCAGAAATACATGTCATACATTAGTGTCTAAAAGGGATACCACTGACATGTGTTAGGGTCTATGCCAGAAATACATGTCATACATTAAGGTCTAAAACGGATACCGTAGACATGTTTTAACATCTAAAAAGCAACATCTCATTTGAAATACCGGAAATTCCAAAATAGGCGCGAGTATCATTTTTGGCATTAGCTGCAGATTTTAAATGTCAAGTTTTTAATTGTCACGCCAACCATGCATTGGAAGCGCACGTAACATCTCAACTTCCACCACACATTTCAAGTACATGTCAGAGGCTCCGGCTTCATTGTGAGACAAACGTAGCGGACTCAAACAATAAAACAGTAATGATCATTTTTTTCGAAAATAGAATTGCTAGTACTTGAATTGCTTGGATAGGTTTATGTGCTAGCCTCTTGACGGTAGTGTGTGAGTTTCTAATTCCGAGTAGCAATATTCAAGCGATATCACAGTGGCAAGTCAAAGGTCCATTTATTTTGCCGTCATATCAACAATGTGCACTGACATTTTTGTGAAAAAACTATTTATGTTCATTTCTTGGTTCAATTAATGAATCAGGTATGGTATTACAATGGTATCTTAAAGGCACCACCTGCCTGCTTTTTGAATAATCATTTATACCGCGAACCAACAGATTCATAATTTATTTGTTGTTTTACACCACATTCAGCAATAACCCCTCAGCTATGTGTCGGCGGCCTGTAAATAATCAAGTCTGGACCGACAATTCTGTGACCGATATTATGAGCAACGGCCCACACCGTATGGGTCCGATATGGATAACATGCAACTAATCAGGTCACCGAGCCTGACCAACCGATCTCTGTTCTGACAAAGAACATATACGTTTGTTTTTAGCTTAACGCCCGCAATCAGCAATATTCCCACTATCTGTAAATAATCGAGTCTGAAACAGACAATCCAGAGATTGATATCATGGGCACGGGTTGCCCAGTCGTCTAAGGCGCAGTGTTGCGTCCTTTGGGCACGCCAGAAACATATGAGTGTGGGTTCGAATCCCGGTTTGCCCCGATTATGTTTTTTGGTTTGTCAGCAGCATACCCGTGCTCGTGGGTTTCACCGAAGTGGTAAACGTCTGGAACCTGCAATACTTCGGGCTTTCCCCCCACATTAGTGTTTAAAACGGATACCACTGACATGTGTTCGGGTCTATACCAGAAATACATGTCATACATTAGTGTCTGAAAGGTATACCACTGACATGTGTTCGAGTCTATACCAGATATACATGTCGAACGTTAGTGTCTAAAACGGATAACACTGAAATGTGTGAGGGTCTATACCAGAAATGCATACCACTGAAATGTGTTAGGGTCTATACCAGATATACATGTCAAACATTAGTGTCTAAAAGGGATACCACTGACATGTGTTAGGGTCTATACCAGAAATACATGTCATACATTAGTGTCTGAAAGGTAAACCACTGACATGTGTTAGTGATCTTCTTCTATACCAGAAATACATGTCATACATTAGTGTCTAAAAGGGATACCACTGACATGTGTTAGGGTCTATGCCAGAAATACATGTCATACATTAAGGTCTAAAACGGATACCGTAGACATGTTTTAACATCTAAAAAGCAACATCTCATTTGAAATACCGGAAATTCCAAAATAGGCGCGAGTATCATTTTTGGCATTAGCTGCAGATTTTAAATGTCAAGTTTTTAATTGTCACGCCAACCATGCATTGGAAGCGCACGTAACATCTCAACTTCCACCACACATTTCAAGTACATGTCAGAGGCTCCGGCTTCATTGTGAGACAAACGTAGCGGACTCAAACAATAAAACAGTAATGATCATTTTTTTCGAAAATAGAATTGCTAGTACTTGAATTGCTTGGATAGGTTTATGTGCTAGCCTCTTGACGGTAGTGTGTGAGTTTCTAATTCCGAGTAGCAATATTCAAGCGATATCACAGTGGCAAGTCAAAACAATAATTGATACTATTAGAAACTACCCAATTAGGACGCGAGGTACGACAAGCAATAACGCTTTCTAATACTTATTCGGTGTCGGCCCTATATTAGTCAAACCGATTTAGGTAGTGCCGAGCCGTGAACAAACACGGGAACACATGGAGTATATCCGAGCGTAGTGAGTGAGTTGGGTTTAATGCCGCTGTTAACAGTATTCCATTTAAATCACGGCGAGTCTGCTTAATGTGGGGGGAAAGCCCGAAGTATTGCAGGTTCCAGACGTTTACCACTTCGGTGAAACCCACGAGCACGGGTATGCTGCTGACAAACCAAAAAACATAATCGGGGCAAACCGGGATTCGAACCCACACTCATATGTTTCTGGCGTGCCCAAAGGACGCAACACTGCGCCTTAGACGACTGGGCAACCCGTGCCCCTATACCCGCCTGTAGACAGATTAGAATGACTCAAGCTATAAATCTTCTATGAGGGCGCGCTCGGGTTTGATAAGGCCCTAAGCACTATTGCTTGTCGCTAGAAGCGATATTCGTATGACCATCATAACCCTCAAAACAGTCTTAAAAATAAATAAAATTTCTGTCAGTTTGTAAAAATACTGGTCTTTCTTTCACAAATCATATTTTCTGTAAATTCCATGACGAATATCAAAACAGTGTTAATTCGTTTGTATAACCACTTTTATCTTTCAACCATCTTGGATGCTGTAAAAATAAACAATGATAGTTAGGGGGTGTTAAATACGAGAGCCATATTGAAAAAGCTATTTATGGCCATTAGTTTGACATTTGAAAGTTGGTTCATGTGTAGTTAGTAGTAGGACACAGCATACATGTTCCGTTTTTGCGATATCATACATTTTGTAGTTAGTTATGGGACGCTTCATCTCCAGGTTTTTACTTTTGCCTTATAATGACGTCATATTTTGTTCATACCATTAGATTCAAGTGTTACAAATTAGTCCTCAGTATTTATGCTCAAAGCATATCAATGCTGAGAGCCAGTGGCTGTCCTTGTTGCCACTTCAAACATAAAGCATTTCCAGGTGAATTACAATGCTCATCTGTTACAATGTCATTCTTATTGTTCACTAATTGTATTTGATTATTTAGTTGCCGTTTTCTCTATCTATTCTAGTCATTTGCCATGTCGCCTACACACTTTGGCTATCTTCCCCAACTCTGATTTGACGTTTTTTTCAAGTTCAGTTTTCACAACAGACAATTTAGAACGATGAATAAATAGAAGCAAAGGATCAGTAGGTAAACAGGCAATTACAAAAATGAAATAATTATTAGATGATAACAAATTCTGTTATTTTCACTGAATGAAATATGTCCTGGTTTCGAACTTGCAAATACTTCAACAGTCACTGTACTATATAACTATAAATCCCTGAATTCGGTAGAGTTATTTCCCTTGCCCAAACCCCCTTACAGCACACACATGCCCACGTAATATTTGCGGTTAATATTCGTAACTAATATTCAATACTTTGACTATATATGGGCCAATATATCCAATGTTCAAAACAGAACATACATATGCAAAGAATCCAAAGCAAACAACACTTCTGAACTTTGTGTTAGGGGACCCACGAAACTTGGAGCGAACTCCAAACACAAGCATTGATCGGTTTTGTCTTTAACATCTGTTGTTTCTTGCAAATTAATCAGACCAACAGCGTTTGCAATGGAGACTCTAGTGGCCCATATCATCCTTCCTCTGATCACGTGTTCTATGTTGTTCAGTTGTCTCGCTACCTTCGTCCAGTTTGTCTCCAGCCAAAACACCCCTCAGTCACATCCAGGTACGGTGTATTATACTAGACATTTTTCATATGCCTTTCGACATGGTATTCGAGGGCGAGATGGTTTTTTTTATAGTTCTTCTAGTGGTGTCCTAAGTATTTGCTAGTCCGAAGACTAGTATTGCAATGTGCCTGCATGTGTGTGTGTGTGTGTGTGTGTGTGTGTGAGGCTGCTAATGTCGGTTTCTATAGGGCTTGCCCACTGAGATACCATGCCACAGTTTGACATGAATACCCCATTCAGACAAGGTATTATATAACTCCAAACTGACCAGACCATGATTCATCCTCTTGGTGCCAAGCGTCAAGCAGGGTAACGTCCATCCAACAAGTACCATCTTTTGACGTCTTTTGGTATGATGCGGCTGGGGGTTGAACCACCAATCTTCTGCTCTCCAGGCAGATGCTTTATCCACTAGACCACAGAGACAGATAAACTACCGTATTCGACGTAATAAGCGCCCCACTGCAATAAGCGGCGATAATTGCTAATATATTGGCTATTGAAGAATCCCAATTAGCTCCCCTTCCGATTGATCAATGTATACAAGACTTATTCATTCGCGTATAATACGTAGTCGTGTGTTATATGCACCCTTAATTATGGGCAATTAAATTCTGGAAAAGTATATCTGTCATATGTAACATTTCAGGGTGTCAGCATAAACCACAAAATTATCTTTCAACTCTGTTTCTCCACCAAAATAATATTCTAATAAGAGCCCCCTATTTCTAATTTTGAGAGCGCTCTGGGCGCTTATTACGTCGTATACGGTAATAAGTTGCTGCACTAGACATGCTTGACAAGGCTATTGTTGATCACCCCACTGAGTTCTAGTATTATGAAGATTATTTCCAACCAGCAGTTTTTTCCATGTTTATCATGTTCATTGCAGATAAGGGCATTCACAGGTGATGGAGGAAAGGAGTGTATACAAGCTTGTGAAGTATTAATGATGCCTTTTTCGCCGTAACTTCCCTTTTAGAATATTTATTTCATAGGCCAAATACAGATATCGTTCTTTTTTTGCAGATGCACCAGTTATCAGCCTTGGTCTCCTTGACCTCGGCCTTGTTGTTCTTTTCATTCTTCAACACAAGGTCATGTCAACAGACAAGTACAAGAGATTCCTGGAGTACTGTGGCATCACTGTGGTAGAGAGACTCATCCATGTGGCTGTCACTTCTTTCACTCTCATGGTAAGTCTTATTGGACATGCACACATGTGTGTGACGTGTAATTTTCTTTTTAATGACAGACCCACTCACTTGTATTACTACTAGGACTGGTACATGTGCGCCGAGTATTCAGATTGGTTTGTTTCAGCTACACGGACCCATGGTTATAACTACAAAATAATCCATCCGCACTCAATACAATATGAATAAAACTTTCAAACAACAATTTTGTTGTTTAACGCCGCACTCAGAAATATTCCAGCTATATGACGGTGGTCTGTAAATAATCGAGTCTGGACCAGACAATCCAGTGATTGACATCATGAGCATCGATCCACACAATTGGAACACGTTATCACTTATGATTTATGAAGACATGTCACACTGCTGCATTCTGTACATCACATGCAGGGATATATAGTCAAACCTTGCTAGAGTAAATGTCAGCTTCAGGATTAGGCTGCAGTGCCATCAGGATACAGTATTTGACTATTTTTGTACCTTGTGTGTATTTATGTCTGCCAACATGAACTGTGTAATTTCACTGTACTTATAAGTGAATATACTTTATATACTACAAATCCTTTGTGTACACAGTCTATGCTAAAAAAACTAGTCTACTTGCATGAATTTGGCTCTGAGCACCATTTTTAGAAGAACTGAGTGTTATCATATGGACTATAGCTAGCTGAGTTTACTTGACCAAACTGAATTTTACTTAACTCAAGCTTTGGACCAGAAGCTGAAGTCAGAGACTGTGTATGTATCAAAACTTAAGTCACCTGTCGCAACTTTCTATGGAGGTGTCATTAGATCTTCACAGAGACAGGTAGCTTAGTAAAACATCTGCTATTAATGAGATTGTGCTTGTGCATGAAGACATGGTTTAACCTGACAAGTGTGTGCTTGTGTTCAGACAGTGATGTACCTGTGGGAGCCCATCACCAGCCCATACCTGTGGTACTTTGACACAAGTGAGAGGTTCTTCCTCTGGCTCTTCTTCCTCCTCCTCCATGTGTTTGCCTGGACTCTCATGCTTCTGGATGCCATCACCATGGAGCCGCTAGAGATGCTAGGACTCAAGCAGGTATGTACAGGTATTTGAAACAACATTGTTTACAGATCGGTCTACCCTAAAAATGAAAAGTAAAAAAAACAGCGGTAGTAACTAACAGTTTTAGCCCACTAGACCTTATAATGATAATACATAGCAAAAAAAACTAAAAAGGGTAAATTTCTACTAGTCTTTAGGATACCTTAACTACTGGGTAATTTGGAAAGGACTTATAGGACTAATGCCAATTTCTAACGCTGAAAAACATTTTATTTATACTGCTGTCTGTCAACTTACATATTAACAACAAATTGAGAATACTAAACTGCCAGGCAAATGAAAGTATGTATATGCCTTTATGTTTGATTTGACAATAAAATTACAAATGTCATCAAAATGTTACTAGGGTGAAAACAGTCGCCCAAACACTGCAAACTTAGGTCGAAACACAGCTATGATGCCAGTATCAGACACATCACCATCAAATAACCTTTCATGTTTGTTTCATTTTTGACACCCTCAAACACTGGTGTATACTTTCATTTACCAGGCAGTTTGCATGTTGAACTGTAAGACAATCAAGACCAGCTTCATCAGAGCAACTGATATGAAAGTCGTTTCACTATCCAACACACTGAAATACTATTTAGACTGCATTCAGATCCATGGACTTGTATTCAAAAATATTACCAACACTGCCAACAATGTACTGAAGGGAGACGACACAAGTCAATCACTATCTGAAAGAAAGAATCAAGGCTTCAAATAGTATTTGAGAGTTTGAGTATTTACTCATATGTTGTCATTCACTTTGGGTATTGATACTTTAGGTTTTCAATATATTTGTACTCCCTTCAGTCCAGTCTGCTGGGTATTTTAATCCAGTGCGTGAACCGTTTTAAGCCATAACTCTGCTTAAAATGCTGTTTCAGGTGGATTTAATTTGCATCTGTTCATCCTTTGCCCCAAAACAATGATTGGTGTTTAAGCGAGACATAGCACTTTTTTGCATTGTGTATACGTGTTGCCTGCATTCAATCAGTAAATAATGATCTGTGAAGATATGCAGGTTTGCAATCTGAAAAGGCTAAAGTGGGTCATTATACAGTGTAGTTATACTCACGTAATTGTTTTTAAATTTTTTCATGCATATTTGAATGGCGACTTATTGTGAGGATATGCAGCTTATCTGGATCTTTGAGGTGAAATAGTCAGGGAGTACATAAATGTACTTGTTATCCTGAAGATAAAAATGAATGATTTATTGAAAGCTAGATTCAAATACTGTGGCAAGAAACCTGAATGACCCTGGATTTCTAAAACCAGGGGACACAGGTCATTTACCGGTAAGGCTCGATGTTGATCCCGGAGGCGTGTCAGAAACTTATACTCTTTGGTTCAAATTAAAGATTTGCCATAATTATGATTCTTAGGTTTGTCAGCATGAAAACTAATGGATCAGATCAGTGGTCAAATTCAGTGACTTGGTTGATTATTGCTCATAATATCAATCACTGGATTGTCTGGTCCAGACTCAATTATTTTCAGACTGATGCCATATAGCTTGAATATTGCTGAGTGCAATATAAACAAGAAGCACACAAACACACGTTAACACTAACACTGCCATTTTTTTCATTGGCTCTTGTTTCCCAGATCTACAACTACCACATGGAGCTCGGCCCACCTCTGCAGTATCTCCCCAAGATGCTGCAGCGATGTTACCGAAGTGTGCGGCATCCCGGCCCGGTCCTGCTGGTGCTTGCACTGTGGGTCCACCCCCAGATGACCCTGGACCGACTGGTCCTCAGCTACCTGTTCACGTGGTTCCTGTGGTGCGGGTACCGCATGTCCAGCAGTCAGTACCGGCATGTCAGTCACTGGTTACTGGAGGCCAGGGAGGAGGTGGTGTTCCACACCAGACACCAGGTGTCCGGTGGACGCAGACTGGACGGTGCAGACTCGGGCTGTGAAGTGGAGTATTCAGAATAAGGTCTGGATCAAAACGAGGTGTAATTGAAGTTGATTCTTGTGTTTGCCAGGATGCTGGCCTAGATCTGGCCTGTCTGATCTAGAGAGATGGTAGAATTTCAGGCTTTTTGAGGGGTGTAGCTAAATGTTATCACAAGAGGGGCAAGTAAATGATTCAGGTTATTAAGTTGCATCCCTGGTTTTGTACTTACCGTATTCGACGCAATAAGCGCCAACGGCGATATTTGCTAATATATTGGCTAGTGAACAATTCCAATTAGCACCCCTTCCAATTGATCAATGTCAACAAGACTTATTTATTCGCGTATAATACACACTCGTGTGTTATATGCACCCTTAATTATGGGCAAATAAATTCTGGAAAAATATATCTCTCGTATATAAACATTTCAGGCTGTCAGCATAAACCACAAAATTTATCTTTCAACTCAATTACGTCGAATACGGTATCTTTCTGAAGATAAATGTAGGCTAGGGTTGGACAGATGTAATCATTTCAGTAGCCGACCGTGCCAGTAGGGCCATCACTGTTCATGGATCATTTACTTGGCAATGAATAACTTCTTGTCACACCTTCATATTGCAATTATACTGCCAATTTCTGGCCATGACACCAGTTAAAGGCAAAAACAACAACATAGTACCCTGGCATTTCATGTGTTCCACCAGCCTGTCAGACCATGCTAAGATCATCACAACTTGTAACATATTGTAACATTTAGTCTTGTGACTGTTGTAGTGCTAAGATCGCTTCATGGGACCTGGGTCTTGATTGATGTTCATTTGCATTAGGGTCTAGTGGATAAACGTAGTCAGACCCTGAAAGCAGCACTTCTCAGCACACCCAGTTCATTATTGTTGTGATGCTATGAAACTATGTACTATAAACCATAACTTTTCAGTAGTTCTCCATCATAGTTTTAAATAGCCTACCTACCTATTTTGAAATTAATGTAATTAGAAAGACTAAATTATTTTTTCGACCCTATACCTCTAAAATGAAAGGCTGGGTTAGAAAATCACTAAGAAGAGAATTTTCGAGTGGAAGTGGCAGAGAAATTAACCCAAATCATTTAGAAAGTGGACTCCTGATTGTCTCAAGAATCCATGAATTCTTCATTCAGATTGTATGAGATCTAAAGATCTGATTGTAATGAGGTTGGGAACATGCCCTGCATCAACTGGATATGTAGTGGCTTGTTTCACCATTACGTGTGGGTCAATGTATCATATAATACTGTATTCTCAACAAAAATGTTAGGGCCACTGGTATTTTCCAGGGTTGATAATATCATAGTCAATTTTTTACCAGTGTATGTTTTCTTGAGATGCAAGAAGTTTACTTTAATGGTCTTTGAAGCAACTGGAATAAACAAAGAGGTATGAGTGGAAAGCTTGCCACCAAATACCAGAGCTTGGCTCAAGAAAACAATGTACCTTGTATGTATGTTCGTTCTCAAGGACATCGGCAACATCCTACAACCTGGCTGGAACATCTGCTCTATCAGCAAACATCCCAAACCACCCTCGATGATCCAGTGTACTTCCACTCTAAGGATAAATACCCTGGCCCCATTTGCCACTATAGCTTTGTTTGGAATGTGTTAAACACAGTTTAAAATTAGCCATAAAAATAGCCGCCCAATCAAGTAAACCTGTTATTTCATGTTTGAATTAACCAGTGATAACCAATATTTGACTTGCCGTTGCATGATGTCTGTAACACAAATGCAAACATAAACAGCCTTTGAAATTCATGCTGGTCTGCTAGCCCTCGACTTCTAAATTGTGCTGAGGACAAGTAAGAATGCAATGATGGTAGACCTCATTGACTAGAAGCATCAGAGGGCTCTAACTCAGAACCTGTTCTTAATGCTACAAATTGGAAGTGAATATAACTGAAGTAAATGTAAACAGTCGACAGTTTTGTCTTGTTGCAGATTGAGATGGTGACATCACTACCTAAATTAAGCTATGATGGAGAATAGGTCAAGGTAAAATGGAGATATGATACACTTGATACTCTCCCGATTGATTGATTGATTGATTGATTCCCACAGAATACTCCATTGCCCTTGATTTCTTGTTTCTAGTGTTCTGTGTATCTGCATTTACAGTTTGTGCAATACTTATTATCTTAATATATTAAAACTTTGGAGTAAACACCATACATTGAAAGATAAGGAATGCAAAGCTTTTTATGTAGCAATAAAAAGGGTCTTGTCTTTCATATGATGTACAGGATATTTTTTATCATTTTTGAATGAACTGTTGATATTGTTAACTGATCTACACGTAAGGAACAAGATAGTTTCTGATGTCACAGTAGTGTTAGTTATAGTCACTGCCGCTACCACAGATCTATAAACTTTGGAGTACACACCATACATTGAAAGATAAGGAATGCAAAGCTTTTTATGTAGCAATAAAAAGGGTCTTGTCTTTCATATGATGTACAGGATATTTTTTATCATTTTTGAATGAACTGTTGATATTGTTAACTGATCTACACGTAGGGAACAAGATAGTTTCTGATGTCACAGTAGTGTTAGTTATAGTCACTGCCGCTACCACAGATCTGCATGCTACTTTTATCTGATATTTTTCTATTGACTTTTTATATTTTGTATACACCATATATGTTTTGCTGTGTACAGTTCTTTCTAAGATGTAATAAAGCAAATTTCTTATGAAATATCTGTTTTTGCCAAAGTTTGATAATATTGTTAAGCTTCACGGAACATGCCTGTATCAGGAATTGACCGTGGTCTTTATATTTGTAAGTCTTGGGGACTGTTGATAATTAATTTGGTGGTGGAACAGTGTTCCAGTTATATCACTGCAGGTCAGCTAATTGTTGGGAGGAAAGCCTGAATCATTGCAGGTCTTTGATGTTTACCACTTTGGTGAAACCCACAAAGACTGGTATGGTGCTGACAAACCTAGAAACATAATTGGGACGAACCAGGATTCAAACCGATGATCAAAGGTTTCTGGCATGCCCAAGGAACGCAACTCTTCACAGAAAATTGCGGCGCCTTAGACAACTGGGTCATCTGTGCCTCCATACAATTACAGTTGTTATCAGAGAGAGGTAACAAGGTAATATGTTCATACAATACATTAAATGAGTTCATAAGACTCGTGAAGATCTGGGGTACAATAGGTCTTCAACAACCCATGCTTGCTGTAAAAGGTGACTGCTTGTCGAAAAAGGCGACTAACCGGATCGGTTGGGCATGATGTCAATCACTTGATTGTCTGGTCCAGACTCGATTATTTACAGACTGCCATCATATAGCTGGAATATTGCTGAGTGCGGCGTTAAACAACAAAGGAAAACTCTCTGCTGATGGTTGAGAAAGTCCTATGCGAAGAAACCCCATCCAATCCATGGATATGTCCAAAAGAGTTTGAGAATCTGACCAGATGAGGTCCCACACCAATGTTTATCCATTGAAATACCTGTGGGGTGCAGAGATCACTCATAGGCAGGCATGTTTCGACTAGGCTGAGGACTGGGCTCCAGTACTTTTCACTTTTGAATGGGATACTGTCTAGATTTCACAGTTTGTCATGCACAAGTATGGCGTAGAGAAAGATTTCAGGATTCCAACTTATCCGAACATGACTGCAGAAGGGGGGCCTCAATCATGACTTGGGAGTGGCATTAGTTGAGCAAGAAGACCTGATTTCCGTGTCCCAAAGCAGGGCATGATGACAGGTTGGGGCTACAGGGATCACATTACAATAGACCATACAATCAGACAGGTGCAATCAGAACTGACTTCATCCCCATGGACGATAACGCACAACCTCATCGTGTCAGGATCGTTCATGACTGCTTGGAGCTGGAGACCATTTTTCGCATAGAGTGCCCGACCCGTTCACCTGACCTCAACCCTATCACCCTATCACCCTCTCATGACGCCCTGTCCTTCCTGCAGCTCTACAGGATCTCAGCAATCTTCTCTTGGCAACCATCGACACTTATTGGGAGCATGAGACGACGGTGCCAGACAGTGATTGTATCGTTTGGATCACATACGAGCTACTGATAGTTGTTTTTTTACAATTAATTTGTTTTTGTGATTTTTTTATGTTTCAGTTTTGGTCTACTTGTGTTTGACGGGTGATGGATGATTATTGGTCACATGTTGGTTGGCATGGAGTATCACATAACAGTCTTTTGTTCATTAAACATGTCTTTAAGCAATATTGTCTTTCGCTACTTCAACAGATGCACATAATTTGAAATGTTACCCTTTAAAGTGGTGATCCTTAGCAAACTTTGAGTAGTATAGTTCCGACAGCGGATCTCATGAAATCTATGTTGAGTTGTCTAATTTTTGCTCTCTGTGTTTATCCAGGGTTGTAAGGGGCGTAAATGCAGCCGAAATCTGTAGGTTAGATCTTGGAAAGACTTAAGCATACCTAGACATGACATCCACTAACAGCGCGACCCGATGGGTTGTTTGTGTGCGCTTAGAATAAATACTCAAGTACTTTTCTTTTGGAGGTGCTAGGATAGCTTTTGGTGTCGTAATCTTTCCCCAATATACCCGGTAGACAATGTGTTGAGTTGGTACTAAATCTGACTAGTGACTTGTCCAGATCGGTCGATAGGACGTCAATATAGCTGTGTGGTCTTAGAAGTTTGAGATGAGCAAAGCCGATGATGGGGGTGTTAATCCAGGTAAACAGCCACCCAGTGATTAATATGCTGAACAGTAGAATGTTGAATTCAGTCTGTTGACTGCAAAATGAAGATGGAGATCAACATCTGAATGGGATCGTGAAGCTAGGCATCCAATCTCCTGGTCTGAGGGAGTTCCCTAGCTTTGATAGACTCGATTTGGAACTTGGTATCGCCTGTGATAACTTCCAATTTTCGGGGGTTGCGGGGTTGGCATTGTGTTGAATATCGATAGTCTGCAACATTGGAGAAATAATTATGTTAAACTTAAAATGAGTCATGTAAAACAGGAGCCGCTCCTCAACCTCTGCCATGCTACAAAAAGGTCTGGTAACTCTTGCTATAGCTGTGATCTGTATTTCCAAGCTGGGACACAAAACTTGTGCCCTTGCATGGGAGGCTCACTCTGAGATTGAAAGACATCTAGACGTTTTTGTATACTAGAAGTCAGGCAGGTAGTGGAATTTTCTCAAACCTATGGTTAGTAGACCGGATAATCTGTTATGGTGCATAGTCTGACGTAAAGAAACAGTAAAGCTGTGGTGAGCTGTGACCACATACTTCTCCACAGCAAGTCCGGAAGGCTCCGACGTAACAGTTAATGAGATGGTAGCACTACGTGAGAAGAAACTTGGGAGACATCCATACTCTTGCTGATCTTCCTGTTTCTTGAGAATATGGTCTCAGGAGCCGTGGACAAAGTTTGGATGTTCCAGGCTCACATTGGCTTTGGATTCCAGGGGTTCACCTGCAACTTGACAGGTCGGGGAGATGATGTGTCTGATGCCAGAATCAAACCAATTGATGTTGATAACCTGTTAGCATGTTGAGTTCCTTGAACGAAGCCATCCAACTGCATCATTGTCAATGGATTATTTACTATCTCATGAATTTTATGGATGGTTGGATGCATCGGCAAAGGACAATTGTAGGTCTTCAGGATAGTCTTGCTGATTAGAGACAGGCCAAGTCTGACGTTAACCATGGAAGTATTCAGTGATGTATCTGTCCTCTGTAATACACTGTTGTGTACGACAGGAAGGATAGAGTGGTGACTTCTTCTGCCTTTGTCACCGGCTCTTTGTAACCTGCAAGCTCAATCAACAGCTTGTAAGCTGCTCTTCCTATAAGGTGGTAAGGTGCAATTTTTCTTCTTGTATGGAGTCATGTTTGTAGCGATGCTTTCTAATGATATTTCCTTTGTCATGTGTATGTGCTGCCCAGATGAATGTTCACCCCTGGTTGATGATACCCTGGCATAATTTATCCTTTGATTTTGACCTACCAGTATCCTCATTCTGAGACATTTCTCAATTACAAGATCTCCTGAGATATGGTTCCTAGACACTTGTCTATCAGTGCAGACATGGATGGAGTTATCCTTTGTGAAAACTTCATCAGGTTAGGGGACATGTGGGATATGAAGGGGCTCTTGAGGCCGAAAGGAGCCACTCCTCATGATGGGCCCCAGCACGTCTGCGTACACAGAATGTACACAAAATTATGTTTTTCCCCTTGCGCATGAGCGCGGAGGATAGGGTTTTCCTCAACTGTAGATTTGTACAAAAGGGAAGAGGACATCTGTTGAAAAAGTCTAAAGATTTCATAGTGATTGCAGCCCAAACAGGAATCTATGGCTATGACGTAAAGAGGTCAAGTACGCAATAGAGTTATGTTTAACTTAGTCCTCTAGACTAGTCTTTAAAGCAACAAATTTCTAAGGCTACATTGTAGAATAATGTTTTAATACCAAAACCTTCCAAAAACACTTCCACAATTAAGCTGGATAAACACAGACTTAATTGATGCTTGTCATGGTATCCCAACTGCGTAGATCTATGCTCATAATATCAATCACTGGATTGTCTGGTCAGGGCTTCATTTTTTACATACCGCTATCATATAGCTGGAATACTGCTAAGCAAGGCGAAAAACAAATAAACATACACCTAAATTTCAACAAAACACAATCTACATTCAATAAAATTTTATTCCTTTAATACATGAGCAGCAATAACTTTGTTGTGAAATACAAAAATGTTCCAAAATTATTTATTTGGCAATGTAACCTTGAAAACACTATCCAACGCAATTCTATCAATTGCAGAAAAAGCATTCTAATAATTAAGTTATATATTGTTTTTTCAGGCAAGACTTATACACTTAATTGAGCAATGACAAATAATTCATTGAACAAAATGAAAGCATATAAATCTAGCATCAGAAAAACAAATACCATCTTTTTGATTAATAAGCAGAATCAAGTTTATAATTTTGATCTTGGATAATATTTTAAGATCAGAGTTTTACAGTCAAGCATATTTACAAACTGCCTACAGAACTTAAATTTCCTTGCTCATATTGTCAGAAAAATACAACAACAAAATTCCATTTCCTACATTAACATCTATATGATAGATCTTGTCAATGCGAAACTCAAAATTATTCACCAGTTAAAATAAATGTATACAGATCTGAAGTCAATGATTATTCCAAGAAAAAGACATCCAAATATGCCTCCAATTGACATGATTAAACAGCCAATGTATTTCCGAAGGATTACTATACAAGACAAGAAAACAAGGCACATATTGACAATTTAAAAAAAAAAAAGCCTAACAAAAACAAAAGGGTATCCAATAAAAATTTAACTTCACACTAAAACAGCAACCTGTAAAACCCAGTTTAGCTTCAAGTGTAGCATGTGAATTTGGGTTGAACATTGTGACGTTTCACTTAAAATATCAAACAAACGATTCCCATAAGAAAAACATTCAGGATCAGTAAGGACATTGTATTTCAATTGTTTGTCACAAGGTGTCACAATGCGTCACCTTTCGGGTTCATGTGTCCTATCAACAATCTCATAAATGCCCATCACTGATAATTACGATTGAAGAGACAACTTGCAAAACCTGATAAGCATAACTGGGCTGCTATAGACATACCTCTAGGGCCCCATTACACAAAGCGAATGTAGAGCTACAACTGTCCTAACTCCTATACTTTAGCATCAGACTTACGATGGTTGTAGTTTGTGAAAAGGAGCCCTGAACATGCAAGTAATGTGTAATGAATAAACACAAAACATGAATGAGTGAGTTGGGATTCACGCCGCTTTTAGCAATATTCCAGCAATATAACGGCAGGGGACACCAGAAATGGGCTTCACACATTGTGCACCCATGTGGGGAATTGAACGCAGGCCTTCGGTGACAAGTGAACGCTTCAACCACTAGGCTACCCCACTGCCCCCACAAGACATTAAAAAGTATGACAAGTAATAATGTAAAAAAGGCCTTGGCCTCCGGTTTAGCATAATAAAAGTACTGGGATGACCGCCACTGTTGGTGAATGCAGTGTGAACACAAAGAAGTGATAAGTACACATCACTGCTTACAACAACCTACAGAGATAACTGTTGTGACAAGGAGCCATCTCCACGCTGGTATCAACATTTAGTTCCTGAATTCCTGCAAAGAAACAAATTAAATCCATGAAAACATTTAAATCAGGGCAATTTTCAGCTGTCACATTGTAGGAGCTCACTCATTTACAGATGTATCAGGATAAATGAATGTTTGACACAAGTAAAATATCAAAGACGGACTTGTCAGTATATTTTCAGTGCATCATAGCACTTTTCAGTTTGTGGCAGTTTGTTCCCCCCACCCACCCCCCAAAGTAATAGACAAAAATATTTTTGGTAAGTATAAACCATCACCTTTCATCATCAGCTTGTGTCATTCATTTGTATCATGAAACGTAACATTTTGAATATCATACAGTGACTGTATCATCCCATCCCTATTACTATGGCATCTAAATTATCAAATCTGGACAAGGCAAATATGATACCAAAACAACAATTCACACCACAGAGGTATGATAACACAGAGGCCTGGGTATTGCCTGCATATTGGACACATTGCCAATAACATACCATGTTTTCTAACACTTCCCATATGCCCTTTTCTGAAGACCATGTCAGAATAAAGTGATGAACAAAATAACAAACATCAAGGAACTGCCTCCCCCGTAAGAATTAAACATGCTAATCTAGGACACATTGAAGTATTTTTTCATTCAGCAGCCTCTAAGTGCCAACTTTACAAAACAACCAGTGGTCAATTACAATCAACACAAAGACTAGAAATTAGAATAATTTATGAGAGCAAAAACATATTTCTTATTACTTAATCTGAATAAAGAATTAATCTTCAAATATGAACTCACTTTGTAAATCAGGTCACTCTACAGCATCAACAATCAACAGCTTATCTGTAAGAGATCAAGGATAAATTAATGACAAAAACTAAATATACTCAATCACTTCCAATTCATTATAATATATGGCAATAATGTGTGTAAATGCACTCAATGTTCAATAAATTCTACAGTCTTTAATCAAGGACCTATTCAAGTGTAAAAAAAACACATTTACTCTACGGTGAGAGTGATAAAAATGTTTATGCAATTTGGTAGTATTTCATTACATTCTTAGGTTCACAAACTGAGAATTAACTTCTCTTAATGAAAGTTGATGACTGAAAAAGAAAATATGTATGCTATCCAATTTGTACTTCAGAACATAGGGTCAATAATTACCAATAATAATACCAGTGAATTCCAATCCCAAACAAAAAACTGATCTAAGCAACAAAGACAAAGGGAGGATGGCACATTCAACATTGTCCACCAAAGCAAGCTACCATTTGACAAGGTACCCATTATACACTCACATGGTATAAATCCAAGATACAAGTAAAGTACCTTTTACTTATCAACTATGCCAATGTCTAGCTACACTATAAGGTGTCACAAGCAAATTCAACATTAAACAACCCGCTGTTGGAGACTCAAAATATCCCAATTTTACAGGTGTCGTTCAGTGTTTTTCTAAGATATATTCCACTTGTATGTTGAAATAGAGTTAAATTGCATCTCAATATTAGTACATGTCAGCTGAAGCATTTAGTGAGACAATGTTGAAGCTTTCACAAGCAGGGGTAACATCATGCTGATCACAAACACAGGACTGTTACATAAATGATCATGGTTATCAACCCAGCTATATATATCTATGAAATCACACAGCTGCCGTTAGTCTGTGATACTTTAATCGTGTGATCCATCTATTACAGAGACTGCTACAAATGACATCCTATCTTGTTCTATGTCCCAAGTTGCCTTACCATTTATGTAAATATGAGAGCATAACTGAATGTTTATTACTCAAAAAGAAAGATTAAAGATAGAGACAGACATTAAGGATGGTAGCTTTACAATGGCAGCCTAGGAACAGTCTAGTTTAGGTGCAACATATTAAGACAGAATGACGGTAATGACGCTGGCTGCTGTGCTATTTCTATGATGGAGGCGAGGTGTACGCTACCTCTAGTCTTTTTCCTCTCTCTCCTTGCTCAATTTTGACTGAGGGCTTCTGCTACGATCCCTACTCCTACCCCTAGATCGGGACAGACTCCTACCCCTAGACCTGGATCGGCTTCTACCCCTAGACCGACTGCGGCCCCGCGAGTGGGACCGTGAACTGAAAGATTATCCATAAAGAAATAAGCCAAAAGAGAACCAGGGTAAAAAGAATGGCAAGAAATTTTAAAGATGTAGAAATGCTGACTCAGCTGATATTTAAAAAACAACCTTTTTGATTACTTAAGCAAAAATAGGGCTTGAAGGAAAATATTTTCTATTACATACTACTCAAAAGAAATAAAAGAACACTTGACTTCTATTCATATGACTATTGTTAATCTGGTGTGTATTGCGACACAGCCTTCCAAATGATGGTGTTCTTTAACTTCTTTTAGGAAGTATATTTGCTCTTAGTGGCACACAATGGATTAAATAGAGCATCTGGTTAATACACAAACAGCAATACACTCTTCCAATCTGCTGAAAGATCTTAACATGAGGCTTTGAAGGCATGTGTTCTATGGCATTCTCATTTCATGCAGAAGGTTTTCAACTCAACTACAACTCAAAATAAGCATACAATTGCATTAACTACGAAACATGCTGCTGGGACACCATCTTACCTGCTGCGGCTACGACGACGAGGTGAATTAGAATCGCTGCGACTTCGTCTACGTGGGGAGTGGGATCTGCGACGTGGGGAGAAGGATCTGCAAGTTGATGATGAAGTCCGTAATAATGATGGCAGGTGTTGATGCGGGAGAGCTGACTGCACAGCTGGCAGCAGCAATGACTCTTTCAACATGCAACAGCTGACATAGAAATCTAGAACCAAGTTGTCAAGACCTGATCGGCTGGCAAGCAAGCACTCTCCAACCAGGCGGCTTTCACAATTTTTATGTGTTTTTTGATACTTTTGAAAACTTTGTACTGGACATTATTTTATATATGAAATGAGGGTAGACATGGTACTACATCTAATAATGAGATCCTATTACACTTTCAATTCTATCACGCCAAAGTGAATGAAATGTCAAATAATTGATGGCAAGACAGTACAGTTTTGACATCCAAATGAGTCCTCTTGATAGTGCTACTATACCCATACCCTGCATGAAGAGGTTGGGACGAATCTGCGAAGGTTAGAAGTAGAAGTAGTCCCTAACGTTGCTTTGTATGCATGTTGCAGAGGAAAAGTTGTAAGGCGTTGACAACTTCATTCTGTACATAAGGCTGATGGTTGCTTTGTTGGTTATAGACGATGTGTCGCTTTAGGGGGTTCATTGTAGATGGGAGAGGCTGAAAGCCCTAGTCTGGGACTCGGTACGGACGATGGGGGACTGGAGTGTTGACGCTGACTGAAGAGGAGATTGGACGGCCTTGGACGATGTGACTGCCCATTCGCACTTGCCGCTAGCCCGCTGACTAAGAAAGGGTGAAGGGATGGATGGTGAACGTAGAGCGGGCGGGCAGGCCAGCGGGCGTGAGTGCAGGCAGGTGTCGGGGCGGGCTGGCTGGCGAGCAGCTGGTGGTAGGAGTAGTTAAGGGGCTGATAATGCTATATGAGAACAGCACGATGAGTTTGGAGCAAGCAGCTCATGTGGCTGATGGCTGGTAGTAGTAGTGGACACCGGAGCCTGGAATTGGGTCAGTCAAAAAATCATCATGTGAATCGGCAGATAATGGCCAACACCTGGTTACCAACACTACTACTGCTATATACATTACTACCACTCCTCTCAGGTCAAACTACATATCTAGAAATAACTACTTCAACAATTAGTCACATAAAAGATAAGCCTAATATATTTAGAAGTTTCAAATTTGCCATTAATAATTTCATCAAGTGGGGTTTATCACAAATGAACAGTAATCTGTTTGACAATGATTTTCTAGTCTGCCTACAAAACACAAATGGTTTTCATGCACTAGTCTATTTCTTTCAGTAGGTAACATCAACAAAAGCATACATGCATATCCAGTGAATGAATTTGGTTTATCGCTGCTTGAACAGTATTCCAGTTATATATCAGCCTGTCAGTGTAATGTGGGTGGAAAACCCAAAATGATGCATGTCTCAAGACTTTTACCATTTAGGTGCAACACCAGAGCAAGGGCATGGTGATGACAAACCCAGAAACGGGATTCAAACCCACGATCATAAGTTTCTGACATGCACAAGGAATGCTATTCTGCAAAGAGAATTGCAGTGCCTTAGATGACTGGTTAAGAAAATAAACATGTAAGCTAGGAAGATAAAACAGTTGACAAAACGCAACCTAAAGAATAAAATAGCCAATGGAGAAATATGGAAAAGGGAAAATGTTTATTCATTACCATTAACCAAAATGAGAAATAATTTAAGGAATGAATTTGGCGCAGAGGACAAAATTAATTAAAACAGCTCACCAATCTAAAAACATTCTATCAAATTTTAGTTTACAAGAAAGTGCAAGGCTAAAAAGTGTAAGACTTGTGCAGAGTTAAGACTGCCTAACATTCAAACCTTTGGTTAATAACCATCACAATGTTAATACCACAGCAGAAAAGTAATGCCCTAATCTTAAAGGCCTTCAATACACAGTATTAAGTACAAGTACATTAGTTCCGTAATTGAAAACTTGCACTTTCATGTAACAAAGTTTGGTAAAGGATGAAAATTTGAGAAAAATGGCATTCTAAATTTTTATATATACTCACAAATATTGATCAATTACACACAAGTTACATGTACACAAGACTTCTAGACATGGTGATCTGTGATATGCCAAAATATCAAAACATCATCACTACATTTTACGCAAGTATTCAAACAATTCGAAAGATTTGCATACAATTCTTAAATTCATATATATCTAAAACAGACTCTGAATTACTGAAACGAATGATACATTGGGATGTATAAGAACTGGAACTAGCATATCAGGGTACACCAACAATATCAAATATGTGTCTTTTAAACTGTAAGTGAAATAAAATTATTGTAAAATATGGCTAAAAAGTGCTGATAAACATGACATGAAAGGCTTATCTGGCATGAATTTTGTGGTTCATATTACAATTGATCTAAAATTAAGGCATATCGGTTCCTCAAAAACAATAACCACCAGTATATTTAACTCCAAGCTAAAATAAACAAAAACAGTACTTGCCATGAATTTCATAAAAATTCAAAAGAAATGGTTAGGAACAGCATTAATAAAAAGAGTAATTGGAACCACACTATTTAAAATGATACAATATTTCAACTTAACATCAGGATCAAACATTGTTCACATACAAAGCATGCTTAAAGCCTTTCATGAACATCTTAATCTAAATGAAAATACTCAGCAATACCAAAGTCATGTTATTTTCAGAATGTATGCAAAAGATTTTTCATTGACAAATAATGCAGTAAGAATTTGTGTACCTTCCTATATTGACGAAATATAAACTTACCGTGATCTGCCTCTCCTTGGTCGGTAGTCATCATATGAAGAACCTTGACGTCCAACTGGCGGTCCTCGACTTCCCCATCGCGACTTTCCTGATGACATTTCAACATGCACACGACGACCATTCATTCTCCTGCAGAAATCAACTTATGATCTTAGCAGCTGATAAATGTAAATATGTGACAAAAAGCGCTTTCTTTGTGAGGTATATTTCCACGGAAATTCTACTTGTCCATCAAATACTTCAATCCTGTATGATATGCATAATGACTTCTATTACCTGTGGATCTATCAAAGTCTAAAACAAAGAAAACGTTTTACTATTTCTGCATTAACATATCACTCTTTTTCAAATTTCAAAGATGATGTTTGAATATACATACATCCTAGATGATAAAAGCAAAGCAGCACATTAGTAGATCCTTGTCTGCCTAAGGGATACAACCTTGAACAGTGTCTTAGACAACTGAACCTCCTGACCCTATGAATGATGCTTGAGCTTTATAAGATTGTCTACAGAAGAGGCTTGAAAATTTGAAAAAATCATCAGCACTTGACATTTTCATCAACACTGAGTCACCAGTGACATTTAACCATCACTTACGCTCCATCAAGGGCTCTAGTGGCATCTTCAGCATCACGGGGATCTTCAAATTCAACAAATGCAAATCCTGGAGGCTTCCTGGCTACCCACACATTACGCAAAGGTCCGTATTTACTAAATTTCTCTTCAAGTTCCTGCTTGGCTGCACCATAACCAAGATCTCCAACATACACTTTGCAATCTAGTCTCCAATCTTTCGTTGAATTCCGTGCCATTGTGCGGTTATTTCTAAAAAGAAATGGGTTGATCTATAAATTCTATAACATGGTAATATAGATTATCATCTTGGGCAAGTGGTATATTTTTCAAATTGCAGACTTTTTATCATCATTGAATTGAGATATAATACACTGATAATTGAGCATGGTTTTACCTTGACTTATCCCCCATGTATCCATTTCGGGGGGACTTACAGAAAATATGAGGGAGTAGTGCATTATACCAGGTGCATTATTTTCAGATTTCATTTAGCGCTGCATGGAGGATTGAACTCTCGTTACCAGCTTGAAGCTAAACTAGGCTAATGATTTAATCAAATTAGCCAGCACCCTAAAACAAATAATTCTTGCTTCTTGACCAAGTCATCAGCACCCGATTGTTTACCTAAATGTGCATGCACAGTAGCCACTTTCCCTGCGAAACTCGAAAATAAATTTTAAAAATGTAGAGTTTCTTCAACATGTTCAAATGACATCAAATTAATTCATTAAAAGAAGTAGCTAACCCATACCCAACCTCATAAATAACCCTAAATTTAGTAAAGGGACTCCTAACTCATAGGATGGGGAAGGTGTTGGATCAGAAAGGGGTACCTAACCCTAATGATTGTAAAGGAGTGCTTGATCGGAAAGGGGATCCATGGGGTTAGGATAGAGTTAGGGGTACCTGCCCCAGTATCAGAAATAACTGCCTGCCTGTGCCTGGTAACTTTTCTGTCGGGCTGCATGACATTTTACTCCACCTGCCTGACAGTTAATTTTAAGCCAACTCCTCGTACATTCTCAAGTAATTGTTTGCATTATTTCAACTGAATCAAATGTTGCGATTTGTTTCTTTTTTTCACGGCTTTGAATATGGGTAGGTAACTTAGATGATGGGCAGGCAACATTTATGGGTCACCTGTCCGACTGTCTTGGTGGGGCTTAAAATTTCAAGCACTCACCTTCCCTAAACCCAAAACAACTAACCCTAAGGATCGAAAGCCAATAAGCGCAATAGTAAGCTGTGCCCGGTAAACTCCATTGTTACCAATAAGAGGGTTAGGTTAGGGGTGACATTTTAATTTTACCTATTTTTTCCCCCTTGGGGTTTCCTTTAGACACGTGCCCTAAGGTTATGTAGTCGAGAGTACTTTGCTTTTCGGTGATAATAGAAATGGAAAAAAAACCCGACAAACGACTTACAATCGTCCAAAATCAAATCGTGTTAAGTTGAAAATGAAATAGTACCACATTTTGCACGAGCGAATACTTATTGACGAGTCTCTTGTCTAGTTGACCTCATTAGGCATACCCAACCAAGCCTAGTTGACAAGGCCTATGGTAGAGAAGGCTATCCATTTCTATTTGTTTTCTTAAAATGCACAAAAAGTCGGACGAATAGGTCGCAAATGCTTTTCTTTCCACAAGCGGTGTTATTTGCTGTTAGTACCCCTTAATCGAACCTAAAAAGTTGAAGATCTTCTGAAAACAGAGGGATCAAACATGGCCGACGAGCCCGACGAAACTATGCTTCCGTCTCGCCACATCTGTCAGCGTTCTTGCACTTTAGCATTACACGGAAATGCAGCAGTTTTAAAGCCACTGCAAAGAAGTGCGCATGATGCTTCTACTTACCTTAATTTTCAATAAAAATTAAACTAATTAACGAAGTACTGCTGCACTAAATGTTCAAACACACACCTAGCTTGTCTACGTCGTTCGGCCTAATGAAAGCTATTCCGCAGGGTCGCGTTCATTCGATTTTGATTGGTCGATTTTCGTGTGGGCTCTTTACAGCTGCTACGATAACAAACCCTGATCTGAGTATGAACTGAAACAGTTTATTGTTGTGGTTTATGGTCTATATTCAAACAATCATTAATATTTGCAGTGTGAAAACTTCCGAGGAGAAACCACAACTTTTATGGAGTTCTCTACAATTCTCTCCCACCGAAGAATATTCGACAATCAAACTTGTTTGACTGCTGGCATCCCACCAACCACTATCCTGTCGGAAGGGGAAAGGGGGGGGGGGGGGGGGGCTGTGGTTCGTAGGTCCGTATAGAATCATGCCGATCCAATGAATATTTGTTTCAGAATGTGAACCCCATACGTCGTTAGAGCCAGGACCACATATGTGAATGTAACTAAGGTAAATGTAACTTTAGTAAACGATCCATTACATGCAACTGTTTTTAGTTATTAAATATCTTATCTTTAAATACCATATACGCGAAATGCTAAGCTCAATATGAAATGGGTACAGAGATAGTTGAGGCATTATAGTATAACAAAAGCAACAGTCTTTTCAACATTTAATAATGTTATCATTTATGTTATCAATTCTGGTCTAGTTGCCATTCCTTATTGGATTACGATTTACCTTGATGTTATTATAGACATTTCTTACATATTAGCTATGTTTAAAAATCAATGAAATTCACATGTACCATTGCGTATGTATTGGGATATTCATGAATGAAAATGTGAATAAACAGAATAAATGTTGTGTGAATATGATTTTGTGTTTGACGAAAATATTTTTAAAATGTCAATGCTAACAGACGAACGACGACCAATGACATTAATTCAACTTGGAGATGTGAAGGCGAGATAAACATATATAATACAGAAGTAGAGACAATATGCTAGTATTATATTGGAGCGCAAACGCATTATGGTTACCTCTGCCAAGATTATATAGGCAATAACCCGATATAGAATACCCTACATAAACTATAAAGGACAACACTACGGTGACTGTTTATGACCCTCCCATATGCCTCCAAATTGATTACACGCATCGTAATTCTTATTATATATAGCCGAAATATACTTTTGACATCACTTTAAGCTGTCACGAATGTCGATATCGATAAAAGTCTATATCCTCACTTTATAACTTAAAGATGACAGGCACATTATAAAAAGCTCTGAACAGGCATGCCTTTCGGATTAGGTTAACGTTATGAAATATTTTGTAATCGGATAATTTGCACAAACAGTGAACACTAATCAGTCACTAGTATATAAAATGTTTATTATGTAAATACTGATTTTGAAATCTACGCAAGCACGCACGTACGCACATCAAGGTAAAATATAGGCGGTGTTGGTGCGGGTGGGGGTGAGGTGGGTTGTATGTACCAAGTGATGATTTTATAATAATTAAGTTAGTTAATGCATGCTCAAAGACGAGGGAGACATGTTTTCATGAAAAATAGAAGTTCAGCGTATATTGAAGAAGATTTAATCAATGAAAGATCACTCGAAATATCAACAAAATTAAACGAAAAAAGTTCAAAGGAGAGTTAACGTGACGTCACGCTATTTTTGTTGCAGTTGGTTCTGAGACAGGAATTCACTGGCCATTCTGAACGTAATACTGACGCTATAGGCCATTATGCCCCCCCCCCCCCCCCCCCCCCCCCCCCTTTTGGCACCCAAATATAGTATGTTGTATGCAGTAAACTTATCTGAGAGAAGATTTTGATATTTTGGACCATCCCTTTTAAAAATTATTTGGATTAATATTACCCGAAAATGCATTATTGGTATGCATATGTACGCCTACATTGCTAATGACGTGGTTGATATGACGTATATACGTAAATGCTTTCTTCCTCTGTTTTGACAAGTCCCAGGTGTTATCGATGAATGCCGTCGCGTCGAACAGGTCGCGTCGAACAGGTAGACATCCCTAAGCGAGTTAATTGACGGTTTTTATTGACTTTCTGAACACGTGAATGCTTTAGGCTTCAATTATTGACTAGTGTTGTATATTTGATGAAGGCCATACTTGGCAGGTGTTGAGTGGAAATAAGTAGGTGTTGTGTGTGGCTTGTAGTGGAGTGGTGCATGGTTGTGGTGTAGTGCATGACAGTCAATAAGTACATAATCAGATATAAACGTTATGGTGATCATAGGCATTTTCATCATTTTGTGATATTTCAGAAAAGAAGACTTCACTAAAAGAAAACTAACAGAAGCAGTCCTCATTCGCCGCCACAAGCCATCAGCAGAGATCAAGATTATTTCATCCCATCCGCCTTCAGTGAACTCATTAAGCAATAATCGCCCCACCTAAGTACACTTAATCCTCTTCAATTGGCTTCCTGTCTCATTGGCTTCATCGTGTGTTCTCTGTCCATCATGTTGTTACAGTATTATCCCTCTGTTGTCATTACTTAACCTACTCACGTTAATCTCTCTGATGTATGCAATTGTTGTTACTGTTAATCCTCCGACTACAAAATATACTCTGTACCATGCTCATTATCCAGCCCTGCTCAACTGATGACCTCACCTTATACTGTGCCAGAACCTGCCATGACATTTTATATACCCGGAGGAATATTTTATATCATTGAGTCTTAAACATTGTATTGTATATTAATGTATGTAAATTTTAATATTTAGCTTTTGCTTCTTTTTTTTTTACTATGTGCCTGTTTACAATGTACCGTCTCTCATAAATCGCTGTGCGATTGGCTGTATACAACTTTAATGTAACTATATTTTTAATTTGTTTTAACAAAAATGTGGTATACAAGTGAGACGTTAATAAAATCTTCTTCTTCTTCTTCTTCTTCTTCTTCTTCTTCTTCCACGTGTGTGAGTCTGCTAGTGCTGATGCCGGTTTATATAATGCGAGCCCACTGAGATACCATGCCGCAGTTTAACATGGATGCTTACTTACTTACTTACTTACTTACTTACTTACTTACTTACTTACTTACTTACTTACTTACTTACTTTGGAGATTTAACGTGCGCTTTCCGACTGATGCGTATTTCGCACACGGGCCCGGCCAGGCCATTTAATGTGTTTCCGAAAGGGGCGAAGGTGGTCTGTGCAACCCAAGAGGGGGGTTTTAGGGGTTGCTTATATAGAATTTGGGAATTTTGAGATTTGGAATAGATGCCGATGGGATTGGGAAGGAGAACTAAGGGAGCTGGGTATGGTGGATGTTTGTTTATGTGATTTTGATTTGGTAGGTTATTGTGTTTTTAGATGCGTTTTATTAGTTCCGTTTTTATTAAGAATACGCATAAGGCCTTGAAGTTTTCTAGTTTATTTTGTGGGTTTAGTATTGCTTCTAGAGTTAGAGCCTTGTTTAGATTGAGGGTGGTTTGTAATGCGGTTCGATGTGTTAGGTAGTGTGTGCAGTGGATGAGTGCGTGCATGTTCTGGGGTTTCTGGTTGTTTGCAGTGTGGGCAGTTACCTGTAGTGTGTAGTGTTTTTTTTTTAAATTAGGTGTTTTTTTAGGTTGGTGTGTCCTGTTTGGAGTTTAGTGATTACTCTGTCGATTTTTTTGGATGGATGGAGAATTTTTGGTTTGGTTAGTGGTTTGCTGAGCACTTTTTTGATTTGGCTATTTGAGTTTAGATATAGGTTATGCCATTTTTTGTGATTTTTTGCTTGTTTACACTTTTAATTTCTGATTTTGAGATGGGTAAGTTTAAGCTTATTTCTGGGATTTTGAGGGATAGTTTAGCTACTTTATCGGCGTTTTCATTACCGTATATTCCTACGTGGGCGGGTATCCACAAGAAGGTTATTTGTTTGCCTGCCTTAGTTAGGTCGTTGGAGCTTTTAAGTATTTGATTTATTAATTTAGGTCGGTTTTTGGTATTTTTGTTTTGGAGGGCTTGCAGTCCACTTAGGGAGTCGGTAAGTATTAGGATTTTTGTGGTGTTTTTTGGATTCTTGATTATGGAGGGCTGAGGCCATGCCCATTAGTTCTGCCGAGAATATTGATTGGTTGTTTGGGAGTCGGAAGGATTGTGTGGTTTTAGTTGGTTGTTTGGTATGGACTCCGAAACCTGTGTGTTTGGAGGTCGGATCTGAGGATCCGTCCGTGTAAATGTGACACCAATTTGGCCAATTTTCGTGTATGTATGCTAGTGTGGTAGTTTTAGCTATGTTTGGGTCGTTTTTTTTATTTATTTGGCTAGCTAGTGTTGTGTTTATTTTGGGTATTTTAAGTTTAGGGGTGAAGATATTTGATTGTTTGCAGTTTTGTTTAAGATTTTTAATTTGGTGTTCATTTAGGTAGTTTGTTATTCTTTGGGATATTGGGGTAAGTAAGGGGTGTTTACGAGCTAGAGCTTGGTTTTTGGGGCTGATGTTTTGGTTTATTAAGTTTTGGATGAGAGGGTTTGATTGGGACGCGGCCCAGAAATTTAAGCTTAGCTGTTCCCTGCGTAGACTTAGTGGCATTTCTCCTGTTAAGACCTGAAGTGAGGTGTAGGAGGTGCCATGTTGGGTGCGTGTAATTAGTTTGAGAGCCTGATATTGTATTGAGTCAAGTTTTTTAGATAGAGAGTTGTTTAGGGTGTTGTATATGGCGCAGCCGTAGTCTAGTTTTGATCTAATTAGTGATATGTAGAGAGAGAGGAGGGTATCTTTGGATGCTCCCCAGTTAGAGCCAGTTAGGCATCCTAGGGTGTTTAGGTCTTTACTGCATTTAGTTGTTAGGTTTTGGATGTGAGCATCCCAGGTGAGATGTTCATCGAAAATAAGTCCTAAGAATTTGGTTTGTTTTTGAAATTTGATTGTTTGATTGTTTAGCTGGAGGATTGGGGAGGCGGGTTTCATGTTTTTATGTTTGAATACTATTCCTGTTGTTTTTTCTGAGTTAAGGGAGAAGCCCCATTTGTCAGCCCATTGTTGTATTTTATTAAGAGATTTTTGGAGTAAATTTTGGACCATGTTCATGCTTTTAGTGCGGATCCAGATGGCTCCATCATCCGCGAATTTTGATGTGTTT